ATAAAAAAAAAATACCACGTATTGGGAAGACAAAGGATATTAGAGTAAATTACACACTATCGTATCATTAGAGAGGGGGAAACGTAGACAAAGCAATGACAACCCTCTCTGTCTCTCTCTGCCTTTCTTTCTCACATACACACAAAGTGAGCTCTGAGTTGGCCTGTGATTTGGACCCGACCCAGTCTGCTACATTCAGACACATTCTGGGTTCGGTGTCAGATAGAGGAGCCATTGTTCTGATAAAGCAGGATAGAGGAAGAGCGTGAGCAAGAGAAAGAGATGGAGGGACAAAGACAGTTGGGTGGGACTTCAGGACGCCATGTTGTTTAAGGGGTCTTGTTTCGGGTATTGTGTTACTGAAGTTGATTTACTCTAATACGTCACTTTCAAGCCATTCAGACTTGTCTACTGTGGTTTATTCAATTTAACCAACAAAACCTCAGCCCTACAGATTGAAACTGTAGCATTTGGTTGAGGTGACATGAAAAGACATGACAAGTGGAATGTACGCGAGCTGATGTTTAGAGTGTCTGTCGTGGCTCACCGTAGCTGATGAGCTTTCCCATTGGTTTCAGTAGGTTGTAGCCCTTATGGGTGTCAGAGCCTCCCAGAGGATCCAGAACTATATCCAAGCCTAAAACACAGGCAGAAAGACACAGATGGTGAATGATGCATTTATTTATATGCAGTGTATCAATAAAACTGTACCTGCGTGGCCAATTAACAGAAGTCACAATTTGAGAGTGCATGTTTTGCTTTAACATACTTTTGTGTGAATTATAAGTGAATATTGTGCAAAATTAATTTTTGCAATTTTGTGGCTTTCATTAACACGTAAAAATTTCTTTTAACGAAATCAGTACTTTTATTTCACAAGGATGCATTAAATTCATTAAAAAAAAAATGACAGTAAAGACTTGTGAAAAGCACCAAATCAGCATAGAATGGTTTCTGAAGGATCATGTGACACTGAAGACTGGAATAAATACATAGAAAACCGTTGTTTTAAAATTATAATGGTATTTGATAATACTACCGTTTTTCCTCTTTTTATCAAATAAACGCAGCCTTAGTGAGCATGAGAGACTTCTTTGAAAAACATTGGAATTTATTTTACTGACCCCAACATATTTCTATACTTCTACTTATCAAAGAATCTTTATTTATTAAGAACGTTTATTTTATTATTTTGATGTTTTTAGCGATGGATGTTGCTTTAGCTGTTAGATCATTTGCATTTCTAAATTTCTAAGACTGTTATGGTCAGAGTACAACATCAAATAAAATGTTCGGTCATGGAAGAGCTAAACAAAAAAGCAAAACATTTTTGTACATTTTTGTGATAAGATAAAAGATGAAACAACATTATGAATATCTAACAGTGTGCTAAGAATTACAGCTGACTCGACACACAAACACAACAAAACCTCAATATACACATCAGATATAAAACCAAAACCACAAAAAGCACAGAGTGGACAGATGTACGTCAATGTTTAATACACAAATGGTCTGCTAACAGCAAAGCCTTATTGAGAACTTCTTAGGGGAGTCTTTAGACTTCTTATGTTAGCCTTCCATTCGGTCTTTAACTGCAGTGTATTTACTAGGCTATTTGCACACACAGCACCCAAAGCAAAAACAACAAACCGAAACAAGTTACATGGATTTATTTGTGGTGATTAATCAGCGGGGAAACATGTTGCATTTAAAATGGTTTAATTAACATGTGGTCTTAAAACAAGTTTATTAACCGCAGATACACTACTGTTCAAATGTTTGGGGTAGGTAAGATTTTTAATATTAATGAAAGCATTTTATGCTCACTAGGCTAAATTTATTTGAACAAAAATGCAGTAAGGACTGTAATATTGTGAAATGTTACAATTTAAATAACAGTTTTCAGTATATTGTAATTTATTCCTGTGATGCAAAGCTGAATTTATCATCATCATCATTACTCCAGGCTTCAGTGTCACATGATCCTTCAGAAATCAGTCTAATATGCTGATTTGCTGCTCAAGAAACATTTATCTGACTACGTATATGGATAACCGTTTTATAAAAGCAATAAGCCCCAAGAAGCCGTGGTTTACAGTGAATTTATAACAGCTAAGGGGCGTTGTTAGGCATGATGTGAAGCGGAGTTAAACCCCCTTAGCCGTTTTAAATTCACTGTAAACCACGGCTTCACGGGGCTTATTGCTTTTATAAAACGCTTATTCCATATATGTAGTAAGGTTTCACAGAATAAAACTGAGCAAATAAAGTGTAATGATATTAATAAAAACAGTATTCTTCCACCAAACAATGTAGTTCCTCAGAATCAGTTGTGGTTCCAGAAAAAGACAGAAAACAGAAAAACGTAAACAAAGGTGTATGTTTGTAGTAATTTACAACAGCGTCGAACACGGCTCAACCAATCAGAATCAAGGACCGGAACGATCCGTTTTATAATATACTGATTTGCTACTCAAGAAACATTATTTTATATTATCAATGTTGAAAACAGTTGAGCTGCTTAATATTTTTGTGGAAACTGAGATACACTTTTTTCCAGGATTCTTTTGATGAATCGAAAGTTAAAAAGAAAAGCATTTATTTGAAATAGAAATCTTGTAAAATTACAAATGTCTTCACTGTCACTTAGATCAATTTAATTTGTCCTTGCTGAACAGAAGTACTAATTTATTTTTCAAAAAAAATCTTACTGACCCCAAACTTTTGAATGATCGGTTCCATTCTTAAAGCTGGTTTACGGTGTCAGTCATTGCTCACCTTTGGGGCTGATTTTACGGATCTCCTCCACATAATCTCGTGTCCTGTAGTCAATGGGGTGCGTGACTCCACCCTGGCTGATGACCTCGTGCTTGCTGGCCGAGGCGGTGCCAAACACCGTGACATCATTCACCGTTTTACACAACTGAGTGGCAGCGATGCCCACCCCACCTAGAGAGGAAACAAAACTAATTATGAAACAAGAACCCTGAACAACTTATTTCCAGCAGTTTCCATCTCAAAACAAGAGCAGAACCTTGTAAGCAAAGGGTACGGCAGGACAAAACTCAGTGCAGCCACACAACCTTAAAGACGAGCACCCACCCACACATGTACATACCAATGTAGCAATCCCATTATCCTTGTTCAACTTGCAAGTGGTTTCAAAGGCAAATAACTTTGATCAATTTAATGGATTTTATCATGTTTTTCTACTAATGCATTTTTTTTCTGTGGAGGAACAAAAAGAATCCGAAAGAAACTCAGATTCATTAACATCTAAATGCTTCATGTTTTAATGTGGTGGTTTATGGCAAAAGTTTGAGAACCATTTTCTGTGGTCACAGTCTGCTACCGTTACTACTGAAACACAGCAACAGCAAACATCTTTAAGTCATTTCAAAGCATAGTATTTTTTAGTGACAAGCTTTAACCTCAAGACTGAGAGAGGCTCCAGGACAGCAGGCCACCAATCATGACCTCTGTCTGGGGTCTAATGTCTTAAAGATGCCATTTACATCAGACATAGATTGTGAGCAGATCCATTTAATCTAAATTTTTACTGCGTGCTTTGAGTGGGTTTCAAAGAGAGAGGCAGAGCAGTGTCTTAAAAGGTCACTAGTGCATGAACCTATAAAGGGTAAAGCTTATCTAATGACAAAATTAAGAGCGCCCATATATACAGTGATATTTAGGCCGGTCACGATAATTAAATAACAGTCTAATCGCTATTTGATCTAACCGCGGTTGTTTCAGACAACCGTGATTGTGCCTTTTATACAAGACAAGGGGGAGTCATACACCAAAAGAAACAAGAGCACTAGTTTGCTTTTCATGCACTGTATAGCCTATACAGGGCTCCAGACTCATTCTTCCCACTGGTCGCTCTTTTGCAACTAACTTTCTCAGCAGGTCGCACGAGCACATGATTTGGTCGCAATATTAATTAATTTTTTTGCTCTACAACATGGGATTTTTCAATGCAAGCTGATGAACTTAATTATATGGAAACGAAAGTGGTTAACATTCAACCCGTTCTTTATCGTCGGTAGTATTATTTGTGATTTAAATTGTGAATGGGAGTTTCTCTCTTTTTTGCGCTTACGAGTTCACCAATGCGGTGGTCGTGCCAGTGCGACCGCACACAATTTAGTCGCACAGGCAGGACATTTTTTTTTTTAATAAAAATTGGTCGCAGTCTGGAGCCCAGCTATATCATCTGAAGCCATTCCATATCTTAATGTGAGGGACAGAATTTAGGTTTACAGAAACTCATCTTTCTTCTGCTGCAGCCATTCTCCGCTCAGTATTCAAACAGCACGTCACGTTCAGTTATCACAGTCAGCATAAAACTCTCTCTCCAAGATGATAGAGTCCCATTATAACACTAAGTTTAAGCAAGGAAGAAATTATCACAAACAAAGATTATTAGAAGACTTTTTCTCATGATTTCCATCTTATATTCATGAATGTATTTTGTAAGAATACGAATAGTTAACAGAATAAACATGTTTAAATTGTAAAATGTGCACCAAAGATTTTTGTTTTTGCTGCTAAATTAGTCAGCTAGTTTAATTTCATAGCTTATATATTTTTATTCAAATTTAGTTTTTCTCTGTAATGAGGAAGTGAGTATTTAGTGGTTTGCGTTTAACAAAGGGTTTAAAAGAGTGAGCATTAGTTCCACAAACACAGTATTGATATTCTGTAGTGGTGTAGAAAATAGCACTGGTGTTGGATCGGTATTGACCGATTCTTAGAATTTGGAATACGCCATGTAATCTTACACTGCAAAATAATAACTCGAAAAGATTTAAAAAAAAGATAACATCATTATTTACTGAACCCTTAAATTAATCAATTATATAATGAAAGCCATAAAAACAGACAATTAATCGTGATAATCGGCATAATCGCCAAAGCCCTAAAACCGACAATTAAAAAAAAAAAAAAAAAAATCGCAACCGTGAATATTTTTAGACAATTAAACGCATTCATACATTTTGATCAAAGTGCTCTAGGCTTTGGATTGTGATGAATAGTGCTTGCAAACACTCACACGTTCACTTAACTGGCACTTGTGATGAATAGGATACAAAATAGAGCAATGAAATCACCTTTTTTTATTAGAAGGGGGAAATTTTTTTTTATAAAAATTAATAAAAAATAAACCAAGCCAGAATGAGTAACAGTGTGCAAAAACAGTCTAGTAAAGAGACCACAATTTTTTTTTTTTTTTTTAAACCTTCCATGATTGATACAAAATAGAGCCTGATGCTCTTAAAAATAAAGTACATTTTCAGATGCTTATTTATAAAATACAATAAAAACCAATGAGCTCCATGGAGTAAATACAGCTGAGACTAGACCAAATTCATACAAATTAAAAAAGCGGTAGCAGGCATGCAAAATAATATATAAATCCCTATAAATCAATGCAGCCTAGCTAGCTTGGGAAAACATGATTTGTAGTTCTTGAGAAACATTTGTACAATAACACATTTGATACAGGCAAACACTCCCATTTGTGTAAAAATGGGGAATATTTACTTCTCTTCCCACTATGCTGTAGAAAGGGTACAGATTATGTTATGTTATTTTATTTACAACATACAGCCATGTATACATACACACTTTAAGTTAATAATTTTTACTCCGTCAGAGTAAATCAGATCAGAGTTCAGTAAGGGGCGACAATCTCTGTAGTGCTCATCTACAGTATCTTCTTCTGTTCCATCACTTCATTAAACTGGCCCTCTCCTCTCCCTCATTCATTTGCTAGTGAATGAAGTTTGTGTTGCCATGGCGACTCAGGGAGAGTTGGTTTCTCTGAAAGCAGCAGGGCCACCATTTTCTCTGTCAGAGCTCACAATGCATGAGAACACAAGTCTCCTTCACATCATGCTTTTTAACCTGCTGTCTCTCCCGTCTCGGCTCCTGGACCTCGTGGTCCCCATGACCACTGAGCTCCAATCACAAGACCTGTGGTAGAGCTGCCAAGAGATCCCCTGAACCTCTCTCTCACACACACACACAAAATGTGAACCTCTTTCATGATGTGTGCTCATATCTGCTAATCTCCAAAACTATGTGCACTTTTCTCTCCCTCACTCAGGTCTCGAGCATTCGCCAAGTCTTTTGTGTGAATTTCTCTATTTCTGCACATATAGGAAAGCCACACTAGGCTTCAGGCATGGGAAATTACCTCAGACGCAAGGTCTAATAACTGGAGTCATCTATCGATCTATATCTGATACCAAATGTTACCAAAAAAAAGTGTTGAACTTTCTATTAATCAAAGAATCCAGAAGAACTATCACAGTTTCCACAAATATTTTGAATGATTTAGAATAATTTCTGAAGGATCACGTGACATTGAGGACTGGAGTAATGCTGAAAATTCAGCTTTGCGTCACATGAATAAATTACAATATACTGAAATTGAAAATTTCAATTGTAACAACATTTTACAATATTAAGAGTTCTTACTGCATTTTTGTTCAAATAACCACATCCAAAACAAAAGTTGTTTACATAATGTGTGTACTGTGTGCGTGCATGCATATATACAGTGGGTACGGAAAGTATTCAGACCCCCTTAAATTTTTCACTCTTTGTTATATTGCAGCCATTTGCTAAAATCATTTAAGTTAATTTTTTTCCTCATTAATGTACACACAGCACCCCATATTGACAGAAAAACACAGAATTGTTGACATTTTTGCAGATTTATTAAAAAAGAAAAACTGAAATATCACATGGTCCTAAGTATTCAGACCCTTTGCTGTGACACTCATATATTTAACTCAGGGGCTGTCCATTTCTTCTGATCAGCCTTGAGATGGTTCTACACCTTAAGTTGAGTCCAGCTGTGTTTGATTATACTGATTGAACTTGGAATACTTTCCGTACCCACTGTGTGTGTGTGTATATTATATATATATATACACATATATACATATATACATACACACACACACAAATTAATCACGTTCACCATATAAAATACACAAACATACATGTATACATTTAAAACATATTTACATGTGCGTGTATAACACACAATATTCCTTGATCAACATCCTTGTTGATCCTGGAACAACATTCCAATTAACCAATCAGAATTGAGGGATAAGTTTAAGAAATGTCAGTTGTAGGCTTACAATCAGGGTCAGATGCTTCTACACCCTTGTTATTCACCTCTAATTTCCCTATGATTTTGGGAATAAATTATAGGTAGGGTTAGGTTTTGGGGTAGGGATTGGGTTAGGTCTATATTTTTGGACAGTAATGCTGATCCAGGATCAACAAAAGAGCATGTCTTACTTGGCAAACTCACGGCGACCGTATGTATATATATACACACACACACACTAAATATACACAGTACACACATTTTGTACACAAATTATTTTGGATGCGATTAATCATTTGACAGCACTAAAATAATATATATATATAAAAAATAATAGAATATATATAATCTTAGATTATTTCTTTCAAATTAGAAAACTTATAAATTAAGAAAAATACACATTTAAAATAACAACAAATAAAAACTTTAATAAAAAAAAAAAGAGAAAAAAAAAAGCCAATTCCAACAGTAATCTGTTTGCCATACTAAATGTGTTAACAGGCTATCAGTGGTAAGGGAAGCTTTATTTTATTAATTTTTATTATTTTTTTCTGGTCCGTTATGGTGTTAGATTTCCGATAAACCCACCTCTAAATAGCATGCTAAAACAAAAACGGTAGTTGGTCGCTTCAGGAGGTCCCTTTCTGTCCAAGAGGGCAGTTCCTGGCCAGAATAAGCTACAGCGAGGCCGAGGACCAGACCATATGTCGCTTAGTCAAAGGTCTGGCTATACGGGAGACTTCTTCGGCAACACTGTAATTGAAAAGTAATCTAAACAAAGCGTTTCCGAATAAAATATAAGTGCACTGATCAAACT